CAGACAGACAGAGAGAGACATAGAGACAGAAAGCGAGAAATCACCCCCCAGGGGGGATGGTCACGCCGCAATCCCTTCTCCTCCATTCTCCTATCGGGATCTTGGGCACGCACGCACACGCGCCCGGCGTGAGTTTTAAGCCACCGGGTCCGGGACGCGAACCGCGTCGATTACGTGGGAGTCCAGTGACATAGCCATTACGCTAACTGCTGGTTCCCAATCCTGGCAGTCTTAAACTACAGCTGTGTTTAAGATGATGAGGAAGCAGAAACTCTGGTTAGGTCAAAGAAGAAAAGAACACAGTCATTCAGAGAGAGGTAGAGAGCAGCCCCCTTAATGCAAACTGTTTGGAATGGCCTTTGCCCTTCTTTATCCAAAACTAAATTGCACCTGCATGCAAATATGCACCACTGTGTTTCTCAAGTCACTGGAGCTAGGATTTGAACCACAGTCGGCCACATGGAATCTGGTTCTCTTACTCATTGGGCCACAAGGCTGGCCCACTGTTGTTAGATATTTGAGGATCCTACATACTGTTTTCCACAGTGGTATTAAAACATTCCTGCCAGCAGAGTATGAGGGTCCCACTTTCTTCAATCTTGCCCAGCAATTGTTCACTTTTTTCCTGAGAGCCATTCTGGCTGGGATGGTTTTGGTTTACACCTGTCTTGTGATTACTAACGTGGAATATTTTTAGCCATGTGTATGTCTTCCTTTAAGAATTGTCTATTCATATTGATTGGTCATTCTTTGGATTATAACTTTCTTTGCAGATGAACTGTTTACATTATATACATATATATATAGATATATAGTCTAGTTACTAATCCCTCGTCACAAATACAGCATGCAAATGTTTTCTCCTACTCTGCGTGTCCTTTTAAATTTTTTATTTATTTATTTTTCTTTGCTATAGGGAATGTGCACTGACAGAAAGTGAGAAATCAACCACCCCTCTCCTCCAGATGGCCATGCCACAATTTCTTCACCATTCTCCTCTTGGGTTTGGGGCACGCATGCACACACACCCTGTGTGTATTCCAAGCTGCAGGTCCAGGACTTAAACTGCACAGTTGGCTATCTGGGGTCCTGCTGCTTTGATCTACACAACCTGTTGGCCCCAATTCTTTCTTTCTTGGGGGGAGGGGGAGAGAAAGAGAGAGAAACACTCCCGAACAGGGTCCCTATCCAGTATAAACCTTATTTCTCAGCTAGCCCCAACTAGGGCACCTGCATAACGGGCGATTTCAGGGTGGCTCCCCTGCAGAACCCTGCGTAGATCTACCCGCAGAGCAGGCATGGCCGCTGCGCCACCGTCTGGCACCATCATCAGCCTCGTCACGCCACATTCCAGTTATAATAAACTCCAATCAACAAATGATCCTGCCTCTGTCCGAAACACTCGCCCACCCCTCCCCTTTGGGAAACCTTTTCTAATTTTTCAGTTCTAAGAGGTTACAAGAAACAGTACTCTTATTCCAGACTCACCCGCCTACTAAAATTACTAATTTCTGTCTTTATCGTCCGTTCCCAGATCCCAACTCCTGCGTGCTAAGTGCCTGGCACTAACGGGCACCTAGTTAATAAATGCTCGTTGATTCAAGGTATCAATGCAAGAACTATCTGGTCAATTCACAGGGAGAAAAGTGAGGAATTTCATCCTGAGTCAGAAATCAAGTGACAGAGGTAAAACTGGAAGCCTGGGCCCCCACGTGCACCAGCTCGGGGCCCCGCCCACCCTCCTGGCCACTTGCTAGGGCCGGCTCCACCTAACTCCGCCCCTTCCGTCTGCACCTTCCCGAAACGATCTTGACTCTCCACGGCCGCCGTAGTGCGTCGGTTCCGTTGCCGTTGGAAACGACCCCCGACCCGGGAGGGAGCTAGAGAGACGTTTCCCGCCGGCGGGAGCTGCGGCGGGGGTCGGCGCTGCAGCACCATGGCGGACCAGCTGTACCTGGAGAATATAGACGAGTTCGTCACGGACCAAAACAAGATCGTGAGGAGCTAGGACCAGGGAGGGCGGGCATGCAGCTGGGGTCCTGGGCCCGGCCAGGGTGCGGGGGCCCTGATCCCTTTGAGTGTGGCCTCGTTGGGGCCATTCGAGAGGGAGACAGGTCCCACGCTTGGTCCCGTGGACCCGCGTGGGCGCGCGGGGAGGCCTGCGGGGTGGGCGTGCGGGGAACTGCCCTGGGCAGGGCAGCGGAGGGAGGGGTGTCGGGTGGGAGCTATCTCGAAGTGATTCCTGTACCTTTCCTATCCGGGGCTGGCGTTCCAAGTCCCAAGTTTATAGTTAAGGAAACGGAGTCTTAACCGGCGTAAGTGACAAGTTGTTGACTCTCCAGACACTTAGTTTCCTCTTCCTGGAAAGATAAGACTTGACCTGCCTCACAGGGTTGGTGTGAACACCAGCGGAGACGGTGGATGTGAGTGCGCTTTGCAAACTGAGATGCTCAAGCGCCTACTGTGAACCAAGGACGGTGGATACGCGTTGCATTTAAATTTTACAGTGACCCTCCTCCTACTCCCCTTCTGCTGTCGGGGTGCTAGTATCCCTAGAAGAGAACATTGAAGCAGAGGGCCAAACGGCATTTCAATTAGTAAGGGATAGGCAGGGTTAGGCAGTCTTTGAGCCCAGGTCTGTACTGCCACTAAGGCTAATACATTACGGCGCCTTTGCCTGACCTATGTAAGTCTTCGAATTGGCGGAAGCTCAGCCTTTAGAATTACTGGAAGAGACATTGAGAGAAGAGAGTGACAGACATACTGGGTCAAGGAATGATGAAGGCATGATGCCTCCAGTTCTCAGTCTAACCTCTAATACAACACTTCCATCCACTTCACTCATTTCCTGACTCCGGAATCACCTGTGCCCTATGTTTGTGTGCCTGTAACATTCCTTATTCACTTCTGAGTTGTGTACTTCAAAGTGATCTAACTTCCTGGTGAGTTTTAGTTTGGATTTGGATCATGTCCCCCAAAAATGACAACATGAAGTTAGGGTCTAAGTGAAACAAGGAATGGAAGGGAAATAACTTTAAATTTACATATATATATGTATATATATATAAATATTCAGGCTGCCTTTTTGCATTCTTTAGACTGTGAAACACACTTCCTAGTATTTGTAATATAAATATCTTAGTCCTACCTGCCCGGATAGAAGGTTCTTGGCAAAACAGCAGTGGCATCTATTCTAACTTTGTAAGACATAGTCATCTAAAAATAGGCATCTTTAGGAGTGGGCCCTTGGGAATGATCTATACCCCAGAGTTATCTAATAAAACACTGTTTTAAAATAAAATATTCTTCTTCCAGGTTACATACAAGTGGCTGAGCTATACACTAGGTGTTCATGTTAACCAGGCCAAACAGTAAGTCTAATTTGAATCACATTGGAGTTTTTGTTTTGCTTTGTTTTTAAAGCTACATATTGCCTCTAGGTTAGAACTATATTTTTCCCCCTCTGGGGAAGTGGGAAAGAATACTATTTTTACTACCTCTTACTACTTTTGCCTCTTTCAAGAGACTGCTGGACTTGTAGATAAATGTGTAATGATGAATTTACTGGAATTATTTGCAGCCTCAGCCTGTGATAAGCATCACTTTGTTATTTCAGATTAAATGGGCTAGCCAGGTGTGATTACATCTCAGACTTACATGTCTGTTATCTCACGACATTTTCACATTTCTTGGGCCTGTTTCCAGGTGCTATTGAAATACTCCCATAATGAGGTCAACAGGTGTTTGACACACGCTGTATGACTATGTAAGGGGACGGTGTGGAGTGGGACAGAGCATTGCTCTTCTTGAATTCTGCCATATCACCTTTCCTTGCTAAAACTTGTCTAATCAGAGGCTAAAAGGGGAAAGGCAAACTTCAATTAACTTCAGAATTTTTTAACATGCAAAGGTATAGGTGTTGTCTATGTCCTAAGGGAGGAACTGGTGAACATTCAGAAGGCTTATAGGATAATGGTATTACAGTACAATAGAATATACATTTTCCATGAGCTTTCTGAAGACCCTTTGGATTTTGGGTTAAATGCTCATTAGTTTGTCTTATTTCTAAGAGTGATCTGACTTTTTTCTATTCCTTGACTGAGTCCTAGAAAATCTCTAGAACATCCTTGATCTCAGGCCAGCCCTGTGGCCTAGTGGTTGAGGGAGCTGGGATCACACATGGCTGAAAGCAGTTCAGATCCTGACCCTGGCAGCTTGAGCAAAAACACTGGCCTATGTGCATGTGTGCATGCCCAAAATCCCAACAAACAGGATTGTAATATGATCACTCCCCACTAGAGGATGCATTCTCCCCATCTGTCTCCCTCTGATGAGTGCACTTGTCCTCTGGCAAATAAGAAAAGGAAAAAAAAAAAACCCTCTGATCTCTAGAATGGGTTGATTTGGCTTTGTTTGTGTTATTATTACATAGACCTAGGAATCTGATTTTGGCTGTGATACTCAAGTATATGAGACCTGGACTCTTAGCCTAGTGTAGATTTGGATTGATTTTTGACTATCTCGGATTGCCCGCAACCAGTCCTGGCCCAAACTGAAGAGGTTTAGGTAACTTTGGAAATGAACAACTGTAAGAATTATCATTCAGGGCCAGTAGGTGGCATGGTGGTTAAGGTCACTGGATTCCGCATGGCTGATTTAGTGGTCTGAGTCCTGGACCTGACAACATTCCAGGTGCATGTGCATATGTGCCCCAAATCGTGAGAGGAGCGTGGAGGAGAAAGGGTTTCGGTATGGCCATACCACTGGGGGTTGATTTCTCACTTTGCCTCTCTCTCCTTCAAATCCTCAGCAAGTGCACATGCCCTATAACAAAACTAAAAAGAAAAAAAGAATTGTTGTTCAATGTGGTTGTGAATTTTTACAAATGGGATGAAGCAATCATTACTATATGTTTGTTGTAAAGATGCATATTGACGACTGGCATTCTCTGGAGATGAAATAAAGATGCCTGCAATTTGACTGCAGCTACCCTGATTTTTTTCCCCCCCTTTGGAGAGATTTTTGTTATAGGGCATGTGCACTTCCTGGGGAGACAGAGATGAAGAGAAAGTGAGAAATCACCCCCCCAGGGAGGATGACCAAATTGCAGTCCCTTTCCCTCCATTCTCCTCTCGAGATCTTGAGCATGTACACACATGTGCCTGGTGTGAGTTTCAGGCCACCAGGTCCAGGACTCAAACTACAGTCAGCCATGTGGGAGTCCAGTGCCCCAACCACCATGCCACCCACTGACTACTGTAATTTTTATTGCATCAGCACACTGTGTAGCTCCTGTCTGTCTCCCCAGCTTCATTCCAACATGCCTACTTCTTTTTTTTTTTGGAGAGGTTTTTGCTATAGGGCGCTTGCGCTTGCCAGAAAGAGAGAGACAGAGACATAAAGTGAGAAATCTCTCCCTGGGAAGGATAGCCACATCGCAATCCCTTCTCCTCCATTCTCCTCTCAAGATCTTGGGCACGCATGCACATGTGCCCAGTGTGAGTTTAAGCCACTGGGTCCAGGACTCGAACCGTGGTCGACTATATGGGAGTCCAGCGACATAGCCATTGCACCAACTGCTGGTCCCAATGTGCCAACTTCTTTATCACCCTAGGACCTTTGTATCTTTCCCCCCACCTGGGATGCTCTTCTCCCAGCTGTCCTCATCCTTCTGGTTTCAAGTCAGATTTTATGTTACTTCTTGTAACAAGCCTTCCTGAATGCTCGGTTTCAAGTGTCCTCACCCCTCGAGATTGAGATTGAGATTGAATGGTCACGTACTACACAACTCACCCATGTAAAGTGTACAAGTCAGTGTTTTCTAGTATATTGACAAGAGTTGTCCAGCCATCACCACAGTCGATTTTAGAACCCTTTCATAACCCCGAAAAGAAAGCACGTACCCCTTGGTAGTCACTCATCATTTACCCCCAACCGCTCCCCCATTATCTTCCTCCCCATCCCTAGATAGCTACTGGTTTTTTCTGTCTTAGATTTGCCTGTTCTGATTGTTGATAGTTTTATGTATCTGGTTTCTTTTACTCGGCATGTTTTTAAGGTTTGTTCCTATTGTAGCATGTATCAGTACATAATTCCTTTTTATGGATAGTTACTCTGCAATCCCTTCTCCACTTCTCCATCCTGGTGGGGATGTGAAGAATGCATATATATGTGCCTATCATGTATTTTAAGACAGTAGAGCTGGTTTTCGAACTGTAGTTAGCCATATGGGATTGGTTCCCTTAACCACTAGGTTAGGAGAGCAGCCCTCAAGCTGATTTTAAATGAAGCACTAAAATATGTAAATATTGATTTTGTATTTTAAGAATCATTTGGAGTTATTGTTTGCGTATAATATTAGGAAAGGGTCCAGCTTCTTTCTTTTGCATGCAGGTATCCAGATTGGATTTTTTCCTTCAAGTTTTTGCTATAGGTTGTATGTGCTTGCCTGAGAGAGAGAGAGGTGGAAAGTGAGAAATCATTCCTTTGGGGGTAGCCACACTGCAGTCCCTTCTCCTCCATTCTCCTCTTGGTATTTTTTAGGCATGCATGCACATGCACTGAGCATGTTTTTCAAGCCGCCAGATCTGGGACTCAAACACAGAGTTGGCCATGTGGATCTAGCACCTTAACTACTATGCCACCTGCTGGCCCCTGGATAGTCCTTATTTATTGCCTGACATTTTATTATTGTATACCACCTGACTTTCCCACTAGAATATAAGCTTCATGAAGATAGGAAATTTGTTTGTCAAATTTAGTACTGTTGTAATTACTGTTGCTATGTAGCAACTCACCCCAAAACTTAGCTGCTGGAAACAGTCATTTTATTATGCTTGTAGAGTCTTTTGGTCTAGAATTTGGATAGGGCACCGTGAATGGCTTATATCTATTTCATGGTGTTTGGACCCTCATTTGCAAAGTTTGAATGACTGCAACCCCATCATCTACAGGCATCTTTCTGTCTATGTCTGACAGTTGATGCTGGCCCTCTTTTGGGACTTGAGCTGGGTCTGTTGCCCATAGTACTTGCTTGTGGTATGTGTGGCCTAGGCTTCTCAGTATGATGCTTCCAGGTCAGCCTTCTCACATGGTGGCTCAGGCCTCTGAAAACTTGTGCTCCTGCATAAGGCAGAAGCCAGTTGACTTTTATTTATTTATTTATTTATTTTTGAAGAGGTTTTTTGCTATAGGGCATGTGTGCTCTCCAGAGAGACAGAAAGTGAGAAATCACCCCCCAGGGGGGATGGCCATACCACAATCCCTTCTCCTCCATTCTCCTCTCGGGATCTTGGGCACGCACGCACACGCACCCGGTGTGAGTTTAAGCCACTGGGTCTGGGACGCAAACCGCGGTCGACTACATGGGAGTCCAGCGACATAGCCATTACGCTGACTGCTGGTTCCGAGCCAGTTGACTTTTTTGACTAGCCTTGGAAGTCAAGCAGTGACTCATAGCTCTCTCAAATTCAAGGAGTGGGAATGGACTCCGTCTGCCTCACTGGGAGGATATAGAAGAGTATGTAGAATGGGAGATGCTCTCTCAGCCATCTTTGGAAAATACAGTATGCCACAATTTAGCTGATGAATGCCAAGCCTTATAGTAGGTATTTTCACAACTACCACTCTCACATAATCTTTATAACCATTCAGTCTGTGGGTGTTACCTACCTCTTTTAACAGGTGAGAGAACTGAGACTTAGAGACTCTCTTGTACTCTTATTTCTTTACCTTTAGTGGAAGCATTTTTCCCTCTTGGTACTGAGGACATTGGCTTGGCATGGTTGGTCCTGATTTGCTTGGATAAATTCAAGAAGTATTTTTTCAGTTCTCTATATTTTTGGCATTGTCTTAGGCTCTGTTTGTTGCTCTCTGGACATACGTGTGTCCTCTGGCAATTAAAAATAGTGGAAAACAAACAAGAATTTGCATTGGATTTCTTGCTAATAATACAAGAAAGAATATCTGGGGTTGATCTGGAAGACAAGTACATAAAAAAATAATGACTCAGATATTAGAGGCAAAGTATGAGTTGCAGAAAGAAGATAGTGCATTGGGCCAGCAAGTACCTTGAGCATAGTGCCTGCCTATCATGCCTTCTGCTAGCATGGTCTTAATTAGCATAAATAAACCAAAATGTTCATGAATCTGTTCCTCATCTGTCCTTCTAACAACTACTGCAGTGGAAAGAAACACTAGGGAGCGAGGTTGAGAATCAAGAGAGTCCATTTTTGTCCTCAAGGAGCTTATAGCCTAGATACGTAAACTGAGTAGTTAGAATACAGTGGTGAGTCCTGCGATGATAGATATGGAATAGTCTCTTAGAGATTAGAAGGTAGGGGCGCTCTGCTGGCCTGATGGTGTTAGGGAAGGTTTCCGCTTGGAGCTGAAAGTGAGCTGTTGTCTTGTTGAGGAATTGGGTGAATAAGGTCTGAGAAGAGCATTCCAGGCAGAACAAGGGCCATATACAGAGGGGCAAGGGAAACTGCAGAAAGGCTGAAAATGGTGTTGGGGGATGGAGAGAGGTATAGAGGTGCAGGGTACAGGGCTGAGAACAAGAGGGTCGTACATGTCATCCACGGGGATTGGATATGAAGCTGCTCCTTAAGGAATAGGGAGGTAACGAAAACTGGAAAAGGAATAATACTCCAGATAAGAATAGCCTTTCAACTCACTTAATGACTAAGAGGCATCTCAAATTTAACGTGCCCTGAGACCTAACTCCTGATTTCTCCACAGCCTGCTTCTCCTACATTTCCCCCACCCCAGTGGATGACAGTTTCATTCTTTGAGTTGCCTAGTCCAGTCATCATTGATTCCTCTTTTCCTCACACCCTTTAGCCAGTCCATCAGCAGATCCTGTTGTTTGTCCCTATAAAATACACTCAGGATTAATCCACCTCTTACCTCCACTGCTGTCACTCTAGTGTCATCTCTGTCCTGGATCACAGTAGCCTCCAAAGTAGTTTTAGCTTCAGTCTTTACCTCTGGACAGTATCTTCTCCACCCAGCTGTGAAGGGTCCTTTTAAAAAGTGAGATCATGTCACTTGCACACTCAACTTCTTTTGGCTTCCTTTCTTAGTCTTGTGGTGTTCACAAAATGCCACATCTTGCACTGTGCCCTCTTCCCTGCCTGGATCCTTGCTACCCCACTTCAGCTTGCTGGCTTCCTATCTATGCCTTGGGCCTTGCTCACGTTCTTGTTTTAGAACTTTTGTGTTCATTCTTTTCTCTGCTTGGGACATTCTTCCCCAAGATACTCATAGTGGTGACTCCCTCACTTCCTGAAGGGCTCTACTCATCACACCTTCCCTAATCTCCTCATATAGAATATCAGAACTCCACAGTCACTCTCTGCCTTACCTTACTTAGTTTTTATTCCATAGACTGACTTCTATTTGAGAGTATGCTTATTTGACTCATTAATAGTGTATCTTGCTTTTTTCTTTCTTTTTTTGTGGGAGAGATTTTTGCTATAGGGTGCATGTGCTTGCCAGAGAGAGACAAAGAGACAGAGAGACAGAAAGTGGGAAATCACTCTCCAGGGGTGATGGCCATACCATAATCCTTTCTCCTCCAGTCTCTTCTCAGGATTTTGGGCATATATGCACATGCGCCTGGCATGAGTTTTAGGCCTCCACATCTGGGAGGTCAACTACATGGGAGTCCAGCAACATAACTATTACGGTATTTGCTGGTTTCTTTTTTATTTTTTATTTTTTAAGAGAGATTTTTGCTATAGGGTGCACGCACTCATCAGAGAAACAGAAAGTGAGAAATCACCCTCCAGTGGGTATGGCCACACTGCATTCCCTTCTCCTTTATTCTCTTCTTGGGATTTTGGGCAGATACACACATATGCCCGGAATGAATTTCAAGCTGCTGGGTCCAGGACTTGAACCGCAGTCAACTATGTGGGAGTCCAGTGACATAACCATTACGCCATCGTCTGGTCCCTATCTTTCTTTTTTCTAGAATATAAGCTCTGAAAGAGTAGGGACTTTGATTACTTTGTTTGCTGCTCTCTCCCCAAGCAGGGAACATAAGGTAATCACTCAGTAAAGACTTGTTGACTGCAGCACTTGATTTGCATTCTGAAAACTGATGGATAATGAAGGTGTGGGGAGGGAAGATGAGTTTACACTTGGAATTGAAATAGTCCACTCAAGAGATTCAGAGGGCACGGAGTCAAGAATTACTCGGAAGGGAGAGCTGACTAGACTTGGCAACTCACTGGATGGGGAGAAGTGAAGGATGATGACTCCCAGATTTCTGGCTTGAGTGGTTTGAGCAGGGACAGTGTTTTCAGGGATAGATGAATGACATAGAGAGTATATGGCATGGTGACCAACCATTCTGGTTTGCCCAGGATAGTTGGTTTTGCACTGTGGGTCCATGTCCCAGGAAACCCATCAGACCCAAGTAAACCAGGATGGTAGTCACTAATACATAGAGCTGAAGGCAGCATGCCAGCAGTGAGGACAGAGAGCAGGTAGGGAAGTCTGTGCAGAGGGGCAGCAGGAGACTCAGTGGGGCATGGTTTCATGGAAACTAAGAAGAAAGTAGTCTGCAGGCAGGTCAGGTTTCTCTGGGGATGTTTTAGTTTCTAGCTGTCCTTGACAGATATATGTCAAGTTAGAGAGCTCAGTAAGTTGTTTCTTGAAATAAAATGTTATCTCTCTTTCTTGTTAAATTGTAATTATTGAGGGGAGATAACTTCTGATACTTGATAGATCATAGGGCTAAAAATGAATTCAGGGATTTTACTAAAAGCTTTATTTCTGCATTTAATGTTTAGCTATCTCGGGTGTAGAGAGCGTTTTTAATGCTGTGCAGTGTGAATAAGTCTACGTTCTGCAGTTCTGAGACGCCCATTTAATTTGAGTAATCATAATACTGGAATCTCAGAGCCGGACTTATGTGATCATGTACATAGCAGTTCTTAACATTTTAGGAGAATGAACTCTTGAGAATCTTTTAAAAACCCTAAACCATCTCCCACTCAAAAAATATATAAACATTTGATGACACTTTGGTGTGAAGGGTTATTAATAATCACATGAATCCCAGGTTAAAAGAATCATTTGTCGGGACCAGCAGTTGGTGTAAAGGCTGTGACGCTGGGCTCCCATGTAGTCGACTATGGTTCGAGTCCTGGACCCGGTGGCTTAAACTCTCTCTTGGCACATGTGCGCGTGTGCCCAAGATCCCGAGAGGAGAATGGAGGAGAAGGGATTGTGGTGTGGCCATCCCCCCAGGGGGGTGATTTCTTGCTTTCTGTCTCTCTGTCTCTCTCTGTCTGTCTGGTGAGCACATGTGCCCTATAGCAAAAACCTCTCCAAAAAAAAAAAAAAAGAGTCATTTGTCTAGTATAGCCATTAGGATAGGAAGTTCTAGAAGAATGAAATAGTTTATCCAGAATTACATAGCTAAATAGTATCTGAACTTATTTAAGAGAATCACTTATCTAATATAGCCGTCCTGTTTCATACCTCAGTATAATAAGAGGCCTAGAAAAATGAATTAACCAGAAGAAAAAGCTAGGTAGTGTCTGAACTTACTGATTCAGCATTCTGTGCATGGTATATCCCTGCCGCTGTTTAAATGCAGGTTCTGCCCCCCTTGGCCCGTTCTTAGACTTATTTTATTTATACTTCAGACACTTACTGGATCAGCATGCCAGCTCAGTACAAGTTGACGCCAATCTCTTTGTCCCCATCTAAAGTTTGTCCTTTTATTCACTTTCTGTCTTTAGTCTGAGCACACATCCTACTATTTAGAAAATGTGATGGATTATCATTCTTTTATCTAACTTTGCCACGAACTGAAAATTGATGAGGTAAAAACTTACTAATGACTTTTGTGTCTTCATTGCTTTGGGACAGGATGCTGTATGAATATGTTGAAAAGAAGCGGAAGGAAAATTCAGGAGCCCAACTGCATGTCACCTATTTGGTGTCCGGGAGTCTTATTCAAAATGGATATTCGGTAAGTTTTTAGAATCTTATAATGACCTTCACTGTGTTTGAGCTATCAGCAGTGTGTTACATGAGAGGAAAACCCGAGATTCAGTATTATGGGAATTTTAAAAAGCTTCTTGAAGATCATGATTATTCTGGATTTTTTTTTTTTTTTTTTTTTTTTTGGGGGGGTTTTTTTGCGTAGTGGGCGCTCGCCAGACAGACAGAGAGAGACATAGAGACAGAAAGCAAGAAATCACCCCCCCAGGGGGGATGGTCACGCCGCAATCCCTTCTCCTCCATTCTCCTCTCGGGATCTTGGGCATGCACACACACGCGCCCGGCGTGAGTTTTAAGCCACCGGGTCTGGGACGCGAACCGTGGTCAACTATGTGGGAGTCCAGCGACATAGCCATTATGCTAACTGCTGGTTCCCATGATTTTTCTGGATTTTTAGACTAAAATTCTGAGGAGTTTGGGTAATATTAATATCTTGTTTGTGATGCAGAGTCTGTATCATTACTATGTAATTTCCCTAGACAACAAGACATTAGGGGACTGTTTCTGTTGTTCCCTATACCTCTTCCTTTTGAAGTTGTATTAGAACAATGGTGGTTAATTTTCACCCTGCTCACATTTGAAGCCACAAACCCAGGTGTTCAAAAATTAAATTTTTTGTTTTGTTTTCAATTTGCTATAGGTTGCGCGCACTCACGGAGTGTGTGGAAGGGAACAGAGAGAAAGTAAGAAAGTATTCCCCATTGGGGGAGGGCCATGCCAAGTCCGTTTATTCCATCCTCTGAATTTTGGGCACATATACTCAAGCATAGGTGGCGTGTTTTTCAAGCCACCAGATTTGTGACTTGAACCGTGTGGAACCCAGTTGTCCTAACGTCCATGCCACCTACTTGCCCTCTGAGACGATTTTTCAGAATGATGTTTAATTGGCCCAGCCAGTGTGATCCTGGAGCTATGTGGAAGGGCCCAGCCTTTGGACCCTGGGTTGACCTGAACATACCAAGTATACCTGTAGGTGTGCCTGTGATCCTATCCTAGCCGACTGGAAGACTTGCGGGGAGGATTGCAGCATGTCAGGCCCTGTCAGGGGTCCACCTGTGTGTGTCTCTCTCAATAAGTAAACTTTAAAAAGCGATGTGTAACCTCCAATCTGCTGAGAACTGCTGTGGCTTACTTATAGAAGTCCTTATATTTCTAAAATTAAGACATTTAAGGACCAGCAGTTAGCGTAATGGCTATGTCGCTGGACTCCCACGTAATTGACTGTGGTTCGCATCCCGGACCCAGTGGCTTAAAACTCACGCCGGGCGCATGTGCGTGCGTGCCCAAGATCCCGAGAGGAGAATGGAGGAGAAGGGATTGCGGCATGACCCTCCCCCCTGGGGGGTGATTTCTCACTTTCTGTCTCTCTATCTCTCTCTGTCTGGCAAGCGCACACACCCTATAGAAAAATCTCTCTCAAAAAAAAAAAAAAAAGACATTTAAATTCTCATCTTTAAGCAGCAGAATGCTTTCTCAAAATTACAACCAGAATATTAATATGTAAAATATGAGTGGAGTTGCTGAAGTATTGTGAGGATTTTGGAGTCCTAGACCTGTCCTCTGTTCATATCACTGGGCAGCTCTGTGGGAACCTGTAGAGGACTGACCAGTGTGGATGGCCACCATGCTTTTTTTCTTAAAACTGTCCTCCTAAGGAAAGGCAAGTTGGTAAGCAGATTTTGTTCTTCTAAGTCTCCTAATTTCTTTTTGAAGTTTTAAGTGTTTCTAGAAAGAAAGAAGTTTTAGGCTCTGGATTTTTAAAACAATGTAAATTAATTTTTATAATGATCATGATTATTGTAAGAAATATTTAACAGTATACAGAGAATAGAATATTCCTTCTAAGCACATCCTAGAGATCCTTCTAAAAGATTGTCTGAAAATTTTCAATTAATAGTATTTGGTTGATTTTCTTTTTGTGTCTTAAAGGTTGTCAACCTGATCTAAACTTTTTTTTTTTTTTTTAAGGGGTTTTGCTATAGGGCGCATGCACTTGCCAGACAGACAGAGAGAGACAGAGAGACAGAAAGCGAGAAATCACCCCCCAGGAGGGATGGCCACACCGCAATCCCTTCTCCTCCATTCTCCTCTCGGGATCTTGGGCACTCACGCACACGCGCCCGGCATGAGTTTTAAGCTACTGGGTCCGCGACTCGAACCACGGTCGACTACATGGGAGTCCAGCGACATAGCCATTACGCCAACTGCTGTTCCCAATCTGATCTAACCTTTGTAAGTTTCCCATTAGTTTTTCATGTAATGATTTGAACTGAAATTGTTTTTTTGTCAGGATCATTAATTCACAAGAGGTTACAAAATTGTGATATTTTAATTTTGGTTTTCTGTAAAGAGCTTTCTCTTTTGACTAGCCATATCTTCTCCAAACTCAAAATCTCAGGGGGCTATTCTGTAACAGGCTCTTGAGTTTGTGGGTGCTGAACTTAACACCTTTGTCTACCTGAACAGGAACTCACTGATTTTAGCACCAGCAAGTTGGCGTTTCCACTCAGTTGTTTTTATGCATTTTCAATATCCCCTGAGGCAGCATTTTGCCACACTGAACTGTCTGGGTTATCCAGATTTTCTCCTGGGTTCTGAATTACTGTTCTTAGGGTTCTTACTGCAAAGCCACATTGGTTTTGAGCGGTTAGTTCCTAATGTTCTTTTTTTCATAAGCACTATAATTTTTAGCGTGCAGTTTTGCAGAACATGACACTTTTAGAGAACATCTCTTCTAATTTTCTAAGAGAAAGCACATTGGTAAACATACTAATATTCCAAGTTATGATTACACTTTTTAAACATATTTGATGTTTATGTTGTTTTTTCTCTTACATTGTAAATGTTGGTGTTTCCTAACACGAACACAAATATGAGGGAACTTCAAAGAGTGTGTGGAAAAATAGACTTAAAAAATAAAAGTAAAAAATGTACTTTGTTTTCCAACATAAATCTCCTCAAGTTCAAGACACTTTTTTAAGTGATGATACCAGCCATTTAGCCCATCCCGAAAGAATCAGAAGTCCTGGGAATTTAACCTTGTGATTGTAGTCTTTTCTGCATAATTAGCTGAAGAAAAATGGGTGCTCTTTATAGATTTTTGTTTTAAACTGAGGAAATAAGAATTTTAAAGGAGCCAAATCAGGACAATTAAGCGGATGCTTAATTTAATATAAGAGTTTCTTACTGAAACTCTCACATAATTGTCGTTTGTTTGATGGGAGGAATAAGTAGGAGCATTATTGTGTGAAGGACTTTTTGGTGACACCTTCCAGGCATTCTTTTGCTAATGCTTTGTCTAACTTTCTCAAAAATTTCTCATAAAAAGATGTTACTGTCCTTTGGTACACCAGAAAGTCAATAAGCAGGATGCCTTGGGCATCCCTGAAATATGACCTGTGCTCTTGATTGGCCCACTTTTGCTTTGGGTGGACCACTTCTGCCTCTAGGTAGACATTGCTTTGATCGTGCTTGGTCTTCAGGATCATACTGGTGAAGCCATGTGTCACCTTCTGCTACAATTTCGAAGAAATGCTTCAGGATCTTGATTATTCTTGTTAAAGAATATCCACGGAAAGCTTTGCTCTTCCCTGCAGGTGTCTTAAGCATAATGGTTTGGACAACATTTGAGCAGAAAGTTTGCCCAGTGGGCACATGCCCACAATCTGAGGGTGGCTAAAGGGCAGACTGAGCCTGAAGCTGGGGGGGCAGATTATGCCATCGAGACCCTATTAGGGGTGCTCTCTCTATCTCTCTCTCACTCATGGAAGAAATTCAAAAAATAGACTTAAGTGAAGGGTAAAAAATGAACCAGCAGATGGCATAATGGTTACATCAGTGGGATCCCACATAATCTACCATGATTTGAGTCCCGGACGTGGTGGCTTAAAAACTCACACGGGGTGTATGTGTGTGTGCCCAAAATACCGAGAGGAGAATGGGGAAGAAGGGACTGCGGCGTGGCTATCCCCCTTGATGATTCTCGCTTTCTGTCTCTCTTACAAGCACACATGCCCTGTAGCAAGAATCTCTCTAAACAAAAAAAGGTTGGGGAATGTGTAGATGGTCTTCTGCTTCAGATGTCATCTTTAACATCATCTTATCCCTTTTTAAAAGGAGTTATCCATTTGTACACTGTTGATTTCTTTGGGACATTGTCCCTGTAAACCTTTCCTAAAGAATCAGTGATATTCCTTGGGAACCAGCAGTTAGCATAATGGCTATGTCGCTGGAATCCCACGTAGTCAACCGCGGTTCGCGTCCCGGACCTGGTGGCTTAAAACTCACGCCAGGCACGTGTGCGTGCGTGCCCAGGATCCCGAGAGGAGAATGGGGAGAAGGGATTGCAGCGTGACCATCCCCCCTGGGGGGTGATTTCTTGCTTTCTGTCTATGTCTCTCTCTGTCTGGCGAGCGCACGCGCCCTATAGCAAAAAAAAACTCTCAAAAAAAAAAAAAAAGAATCAGTGATATTCCCATCTTTCCACCGAAGTTTCACCATAAACTTGGTGTTTTTTCTTGCTTCAGTTCTAGTAGAACTCATGTTGCTTTGACAGGGGCTCTTTCCAACTGATTCTTCTTATTCTTAGTACTTCAAAGTAGATCCTGTTAAAGCATGTTATAACAAGTTAATGTGAATTTATTTTGAGTCAAAGTTTTTTGAAGTTCATGCTTAGTTTTTTCACAATACACATTTCCCATCAACCTTCTGAATATGCCTCATATGTATTTGCTTTAGCCAAATATATGAGGTTTACCAAAGCAAAACCATTACTAACAATATGAGTGTTTAAAATAGTTTAAGATTCCTTGTAGTTCTTTCTCTGCCCTACTAAGGTTACAGTCATCTTGTGTTTAGAACTACATGAAATAATTCTTTACAATAATTAAGCCACTAATTCAGTATCTAGCTAAAAGTTTTTGCTTTCAGCTTGTAAGTTCCCTCCTTTCCCTTAAAGGTAACTATTTTTTGTTTGTGCCTTTTCCATCCATTGTTGTTGTGTGTGTTTTATAATTTAAGCAAATACATATACTCAGGACTCTCTTAGATAAGTACAACCTATTTTGCACTATTTTTTTTCTTTTGTTGGTGTTTGTTTGACTAAACAGTAGATCTTGAGCATCACACCATAGCCGTTACAGAAATATTCCTCACTCCTTATTCTATCTACATAGTGCCATTGATGGATACATCTTCATTTATTCAGGAGTGCCTCGGTGATAGTTATTTGAGTTATTTAAAATCTTTGACTATTACAAATGATATTACATTGATAGATCAGAATATATGTATATTTTTGCTAATGTGGGTCAAAGATACAATCATTGGGTATTGCTAGATAGATCTGTTTCTAATTCCTACCAGTAATGTATGAAAGTACCTGTTTACACGTAACACGTGTTTTTATGTCTCAGAGCACTTTGCGTTTCTTTTTCTGTGAACTGTCTGTTCATACCTCTTGCACATTCATCTAAAGGATTGTTAGTGGGTTTTTTTTAGAAGCCATATATTAACCCTTTGTGATATAAGTGATTTTTTTTTGTTTGTTTAACTTTATCATTCATCTTTGTATTTCTCTTTGTGTGTGTGTACACTTGCAAAGCTATTTTGTCAGTTTTCACGAATTAAGTCATTATTTTTGGATTTTCAGTTTAAAACTTTTCTAATTTTTTAGTATACTGGATTATGGAAGAATTCACCCATCTTTTCATTTTTTTTACATTTAAATCTCTGATTCATTTAGAATTTATTCTGGTATGTGGTGTGAGGCAGATCCAGTTTTTATCTGTATGATTGTACAGTCACTCTCATTAAATCACTTACTGGAAAATCCTCACAATGATCTGTAGTACTATATTTTTCTGATGTATTATTGAGATCTACACTCTTAATATTTTCCTCTATTGAGAAGTTTTCAAGCAAGAAAAAAAATTAAAATGAATCTGGCTTTATTAAACTGTAAGAGATATTTTAAGGGGTACATGGAGTTTTCCTAATTTTACTTCCAAGCACAGCTGAATATTGGCAAAGAAATTTAAGTTCTACTACTTTCAACCCTTAATGAAGTGTTATTTCTTTATAGTGCCACAAGGTTGCAGTAGTGAGAGAAGATAAATTGGAAGGTAAGTTGTTTCAGTGATTTGCAACTTTTTCCTCTTACTGCATCAGTGTAGGTACAATAAAAATTCTGCCCCTAACATCTGCATATAATATATTTAACGTCGTAACTGAAGAGCCTTGTTTTCTGTGGATTAGTAGTTTCTGAAACGTGTTAAGGTATTATACTACATCTGTCTAACTTCTTACTTTTAAGGCCAATAGTTGCTAACATTTGTAAAGTATTTTTATCACAAGATTTCAGAACTCATGACAGATACACAAAAAATTATCATGAATACCACACAGGACACCACATCAACTGTAAAAACAAAAAAAGGTCTCTACTGTACATGTTCCATTACAGTTTTTTTTTAGGAAGGACATTAAAGGATGCTTTTCTAGAAGTAAGAAAAACTTGTAAGTTTAATTTGTCCAGTTGTTTCAAGACTTAATGCTACTGTCCTCTTGTTTAAAAATCTAATTCAAAAGGATTTTGTAACAGGGTCCTCATGATATTAGAACCATGTATCAAGACTCATGTATGGTTGTAATTTGTATACAGAGGCCCCTGGAATTGCAGGGGGTGGGGGCATTTTCTTGCCAAATTAACTTGGGGTGGTGGGGATGTCTACTTTGTTCCTTTTGAATTCCTGCAGAAGTAGGCAAAACAAGATTTCTTTCTTTTTTAATGTAGGGAGTGTATGCTTCTGGGAGAGACGAAGAAAGAGGGGAGAAGTAAGAAATCACATCTTCTTCCCCTACCCCGGGGATATGGCCATGCTACAATCCCTTCTCCAGTTTCCTTTCAGGATTTTGGGAATGCATGTACATGTTTCCAGGATGTTTTTGACGCCTCTGGGTCTGTGACTTGAACCTCACAGTTGGCCATGTGGGACCAGCTGCCTTAATTACTACACCACTGACTGACCCAAGATTTCTTCTTTATGTAGCTCTGTCATGATTGTCTACTATGTGCCAAGGCTTGTGTTAGTCAGTTGGGATGTGAAATGAGTTAGGCACAACCTCTTCCCTTGTGGAACCCGAAATTTGTTTTTGTGAAATTCTGTAGTGTTTTTTCTTTGCAGGCTTTATCTAGTTTGTAGTATTTTTATTACAGAATCACTTTCTCTAAGCTAAAGTTAAAATACCTAAACAAGTCTTCTCAGATAGACATTACTTATTCCTCTTTAATTATATGCTAGAGTGTAAAGTTCTTCCCTGATGAAAAAAAAAAAGAACATCATAGTCATCATCAATCATTAATTCGTATTTACTGAGTGTCCACTTTATGAGTGATACCCTCATAGGTGCTGTACTTAGAAATGAGTCACCACCACCTACCTTGTCATAATGTTCCTGTTGCAGACAGAAGGGTTGATGTTTTACTGTATATGTGGCCATTTAGCCTTTTAGAGGTTTTTGGACCGCAACAGATTGCAAATGGTTTTAATGCAGAAGGGCTTCTTGTTAAAGTCCCCACATGCTATGAAGTTTGTGTATTAACAGACTGCTTTTCCTGTTGACTTGCAGCAGTGAAGTCCAAGTTGGCTGTGACTGCCAGCATCCATGTGTACAGCATCCAGAAAGCCATGCTAAAGGACAGTGGGCCTCTGTTCAATACGGACTATGACATCCTTAAAAGCAACTTGCAGAACTGCAGCAAGTAAGCTCCTTAATGTTCCTTGTAGGCTTCTTTACAAATTGATTTTGTAAGATGTTTACACAGTGGCTGCCTCTTAAGAGTGAATGCCAAGTCTAGTAAAACTCCATTTATCTTGCAGTAAGACACATGCCTGGTTTTATTAGTGCATCATAAGGTGAAAAATAGCAGCCACAACCCATACTGAAATCCGCAGTGGACTCCCCATAAATCTACTTCTCATATATTTATCCTGTCACTGTCACCCAACATGTTTGTTGTACCCCCTTGTTACTCCCTTACCCCAGTCTCTGCTTGTCTAAATCCTAACCATCCTTGAAGAACCTGTTCAAATGTCATCCTTCAATAAACTATTCCTGATTTGATGTCTCTCTACCTTCCGTCCCAGTGCCATGTTTTCTTGAGCTTCCATAGCCAGGATCAGATTTTGTAAATCTTTAGTGTCTTCCACAGTTCAGGGAGCTGATAAAGTATAATGCATTTGTATTTCATAACTTGTCATAGGCTTGAATTGTGGCTTTGCTGCTGAATAACCATTTTGGACAGATTACTTTAACTCTTTGAGCTTTGGCTTCTTCATCCTTTTTTTTTTTTTTTGGAGAGATTTTCACTATAGGGCACGTGCGCTCGCCAG